GTAAGAATTCACTTACCATTCCTTTGCAAAAGTCACTGTAAAAGGCCCCTGTTATTTAATGGGAACAGTCTAAGAACCCATTCAATGGACATATTAAAGCAAAGCAGTACTAGATTCACATCTTATGAAATATCCACAACAACTCGAATGTGTGGGCAGCTTTGGTCACAGAGGACACAATTTTATAGTTTTGGTTTTGTCAGGTCCCAGGTAGATTATCTGCTTTGTAGACTACCCAGGGCATAACAAATCCGGCTCTTTACCCAGCAAGCTCTTCACATGAGCTTTCTTTGGAGCTCAATCAGAGCATATTAAAAAAAACTAAACACCTTTCTACAGCAAGGCACAAGAAAAATATACTGTAAATATAATCATATGAAGCATACCAAAACAAACAAAAATTCAGAATTCTTCTGAATATCATTTCAACTGATAATAATAACAGGGTTAATTTTTCATTTAGGGCAATCCACTAAAATAATCTGATTTAAAAACTGTTATCTTATAGAATAGTTCAGATTCTTTAAATTATTCTACCTGTTCCAGGGTCTGATTTATAGTGTTGTTAAAACATTTACAATCTTCAAGTGACTTAGTTTCATCACTGCTTATCCCTTATAAGACAACAGCACTTTTTTGACTAGTAATCACAATAAATAAAATGGCAATTAGTCTAAATACTATAACTATTACTGGCAGGAAATTTTATCCTCCATAATTACTACCAATCAAAATATTCTGCAAATCCCAATTAGTTCTAGAAATGGTTGTTAGGGTTTATTCCTCAAGAGAAAAGAAAATCAAGCTCTCATCAATTCTTATTATTTTTTATTAGAAAGGTACAACTATGAAAATTTATGAACCAGGTGTGGTGGCTCACACCTATAACCCAGCAGTTTGGGAGGCTGAGGCAGGTGGATTGCTTAAGCCCAGGAGTTTGAGACCAGTGTGGGAAACATGGCGAGACCCAACCTCCACAAAAAATACAAAAAACTAGCCGGTCATGGTGGGACGCACCTGTAGTCCCAGTTACTGGGGGAGAGGTGTCTGGGGTGGGAGGACCACTTGAGCCGAGGAGATCAAGGATGCAGTGAGCCATGATTGTGCCACTGCACTCCAGTCTGGGCGATGGAATGAGACCCTGTCTCAAAGGAGAAAAAGAAAAAAATTATGAAAAGAATGGAAAATTTGTTGAACATCAGTCAGCAGCAAATTTCTCAGTACTAAGTCTAAGCACCCTACTCTTTGATCATTCAACTTAAGAGGTGAGCTTAGATAAGTAACTCAGTATGTAACTACATTAAGATGGGTAAATGATACACAACTACAACTTCAAGGGGAAAACGATTTCAGAGATAACAGAAATAGCATGACATTTTCAAAAGGAGAAGTGAACAGGAGTATTTTCTTGAATGTAAGACAATAGGTTGTGAGAGTATCTTTAGAGGTTAGATTGTGAGGTGAAGTCTGATTTATCTTTGGAACTCTAAAGAGAGATTGACAAAATTTTCAGGGATGGACGTACGAAAAATGTAAAGACCACAAAAATGGAAAACAACAAAACCAAAACAACATATGAGGAACAGTGAAGAAATTAGTAAAGAAATGGAAATGTCAGGTCAGGTGTCCCACAACATGCCCCCCAAGCATGAGAACTTAGTGGCTGAGTCCCGGGAAGGTCCGGCGCAGTACTACCTAGTGCACGCAACACCCGTCCTGCTGGCTGCAAGCCTCAGCTAGCAGGTGCCTACTGTCCTCCCCTCTGTGCTGGCTTTCAGCAAATTCATATGCTGAGCTGACTGAACCCTGATCTTCTTCCATCTGGAAGGACAAAAAAGCAACAAGTCTCATATTACAGAATGATACTCTTTACCATATACAGGTTTAAAATCAAAGCAACAAGCTGGCGTCCACAATCTGAGGCACAAAAGAATGTTCAAAGAACAGCACAGTTACTGTCACGAAAGAGGGCTAACAGAAACTTCTTAAGGTAAACAACACAAGCAAACAAAATAAAGCCACGATTCTCCAGTGCACAAAACTCTAACTAAACATATATTACAGCTAAGTTAAAACCAAATTTCTTTCAATACAATTCACTTTCTTCTATTAAATTCATTTGCCACCAAGATTCAGGGTTCTTATTGCAAAGGTATGTCAAATTTTTCACCTTTCCCGCTTCCCTTCTCAGAAGACTTCTCTACTGTAACTGGACTTCATGACCTCAGAAATGTTGAACATGTGTGCAATGGGCTTACCTGACCTATCTGTTAACAAAATAAATTTAATCCTCAATTAAATAGATTTTTAATGAGCATTGATAATTTACATAAATTTCAGTTCTTTTTCTGTATTTGCATTAGAGACTTTTGGAGGCAATTTAATATGTGTCCAAAGACATCCTTATTTTGCATCTTATTAAATTACAAGAAAATGTCCTTAATGAATAAAAATCGATTTTGCCTCATCACTACATATTTTCCCAAGACTGACCAATAATTATTTCTATGAAAGATGCTGTAATGAATTTCTGACATAAACAAAAAATAAGCAGAATTCCTTGGTTTCAAGAGTATAGTAAGTTTATGTGAAGATATCTTAATAGCTTTGCCTATAATACAAAGGAAGAGGAGAAGGGAAAATACTTAAAACGAGCTTTGTTTTATTCAAAAGAAAATTGTTAATAGTTTTGTATTAATCTTTTTTTTTTTTTTAAAGAAAAAGTCCTACTCTGTTAATCCAGGATAGAGTGCCAGTGGCATGAACTTGGCTCACTGCAACCTCCATCTCCTGGCTTCAAGTGATTCTCTTGTCTCAGCCTCTCAAGTAGCTGGGATTACAGGTGCCTGCCACCATGCTTAGCTAATTTTTGTATTTTTACTACAGATGCGGTTTCACCATGTTGGCCAGGATGGCCTTTAACTCTTCACCTTAAGTGATCCACCTACCTTGGCCTTCCAAAGTACTGGGATTATAGGCATGAGCCACTGCGCCTGGCCTTAGTTGTTCCTAAGAAATACTAACTTGTCAAGATTTGAAAGCTTTTAAAGATATCCGATATCCATACAGTTTTCCTCTCTGTCACAGGAGTAGTTACGCTATTATGGATCAAACCCATGGAATATTGCTCAATGCAGTTAAAAAAATTGATGCATTCAAAATTCAGAGGCCGCATCGGCAGAAAGAGGTATACGAGCACTTGTACTCCACACAGCTATGAACAAATGCCCACCTAGTGGCCACTCACTGCTCAATTTGAGTAACTGTTTTCTCTGCCTGGCTTTTGGTTGAGCACAGTATTTCTTCTTTGTGTTTTCTTTAATGCTGATGGTAAATAAATAGACCACAGTACATAAAATGATCATCTGACAGGTGAAGAACCTGGAGGCCCCGAAGTGAAGTGACTTGGTTAGGGCCCACTGGGAGTAGCAGCAACTGCAGCACCAGCATTCAGATCTGCCGCTCTCTGAACAGTGTTCGTTTCCGCTTGTTCCACCACCTGACTGAACAGTGGCTTGCAGGAGGATCAACTCGCCAACATCCTGCTCTCACTGTGGTCCTTCGTACATGAATGTTCAGCTTACTGTTTAATTAGAGTATTACAGAAGCTGTGATCTTTATGATCTCCTTTCTCCATTAAGTCTAGCTTTGCTCAAAAAATGTGGTTTAAGCCAATATGAAATGTGAAAATTTGACTTCCTAAAAATATAATTATTCAAAACACAAAAGTTATCTTTATATGACAGAAGAGTGGGCTAGAGTGTGCTTTTAAATAATGAGCTCTCCTTTTGCTTTAGAGTTAAATAATTAGATGTTCAAAAATGTGATAGAAAGCTACTGCTTTTAAAGTCACCTACAGATAAAATTGTGATATATATATTTGGCTCAGCCAAAAGTGAAGGTAAATCTTTAAGTTTGTTTTAATTTAGTTCTTGTTTTAAATACAAAATTTAGTTGACTACCACTTAAACACCCATTTGTACTCTCATCTATCATTATTATACCACTATAATTCAAAATACAATTTTTTCTAAAGTTGAAGCTAATAAAAAACTTGAAAGGTTCAGTAAACCTTTACACAGCTCAATGTTATGAACTCGGAGTTTTATAAAAGGTTAAGTGGTGCTTTGTAAAGGCCATTCATTCAATCAAATGAACACAAAGATTAGACACCTTGAGAATAAATAAGAATTTAAAATTCAAATGAACACAGAAAGATTAGAAACCGTGAGAATAAAAAAGAATTTTTAGAAAGTACATGATTAAGAATCTGTAAGAAATCAACAGGGCAAGAAATGGAAAAGTGTCAATTTCTAAAAAGAAAAATAAGTTATATTAATTTTCCCCTTTAAACCACACTTAATACATAGTTTTAGTATCTTAATATAAAAAGTTCTAAAATTTAAGGTTTCATCCCTTTCTATCAAAAGACATCTCTGTACTATGATCTTTTGTACAAACTGACAAATGAATCTGTCTGTGGAGATAAAGACACACACACATATTGTTCAATTTATAGATGCACTAAATAGTAGCCAGGATATGAGATGCTTTAGCAGCCATTACAGTATACAAACACAAATATGCACATCTATTTACAATACAGATTAAGGCAAGATAAAAAATGGGCAACTCTTACTTCAAAATATGTAGCTTTAATTACTCAACATGCAGGAGCATTCATAAATATGAATAACATGACAAGCAGAAGCATTAGAATTGTACTAGAAAAGGTAGTTAAGATGTAAAAATATATAACAAGGTATAGATCTCTGTTCTGTTATGCTGAATTTTTATCTGAATTTTCTTCTCAAAGAAGAAATGGATTTTTTTTTTTTTTAGGTTTTAACATACATGTTAATAAAGGTCAAATTAGCCAGAGACAGGGCTATGCTAACAAAAATGCCCCACTCTTTATTCATGCCTCTGCCCATCTTTTGGTATTAATTGACCTTTAAGCATGCAGAAGAGTTAATGAGGTTCTACTCCTCCTACTCTACCTAAGTCTGCTCAGCTGATTCCTTGCCCTCGACAATGGCTGCAGTGCGATGAACTCGTCACTTAAAGCAACTGTGTTGGAGTACATCTATAAGTGGACAGAAAAGGGATGGACACACAACAAGTCAGTGAGCTGTATTCATCATCTAAGAGACAGACACAGGACATGCTCTGTAAATATATCTGCTCCTACACGAGGAAAAAATATCATATGTGATACACATACATGACTAACATTTGTAGGGCCATTGGCTGTGCCATCAAAGAAATTTATTCTTCACTCAACACATTGTTACTCTGGAGAAAAACAAGGCTCAGAATAAATGCTGACAGCTCTTCCTTTGATACAAGTTTTCTTGCTACTTTTGGTAAACAAGTAGCTGACACCTTTCTAGCCACTTGTCCAACATTTGAAATCAGAAATGATACAAAGCTAAAAATAATAATTACTGCCCATAGCAAAGGAATAATGTTGCATATAGGATTTCAATGACCATATACTGTTTCAGCACAAGAAAAAAAAAAAAGGAAAAACACACCAACCCCAGCAGGCTAGAAGATCCCTGAGTAGAAGTGGATATTTCCTTCTTGGATTAGACCACCTAGAACATCCAGTTAAGTCATTTAGAAGTCAATTTAGTGAGTCAAGAAGGAAGATTATACTAGCTTTCACACATAGATAAAATGACTGGTTCACTGTACATTCAATTTTTAATCAAATAGACTAAATCAATTTTTAGCTCATAGCGAAAGAACCAAAAAATACATAAGCACTTTTAACTTGTCTAGGGGCCTAAATATTTCCTATGTATTCCTTTAAAAAGAGGCTACAGGAAAGGTAACAATAACTACTATTATCACCTTTTATATTATTAAGAAATCTCTATGAAAACATGTAAGTTTGCAAATGCTCTGCCTAAAGTAGAATTTCTAAGGATAATATATTTATCCTGATTACTGGTGAGTATCTCCAATCTGAAAATCCAAAATCTGAAACTTTGAGTGCTGCTGACATGACGCTCAAACAAAATGCTCATTGAAGCATGTCAGATTTTGAATTAAGGATGCTGAATCAGTAAGTATAATGCAAATATTCCAAAATCTTCAACAATCTGAAAACGAGCATTCTGGATAAAGGATACTTAACTTGTATTTACTTTTATAAAACATTAAGTCTTTTTTTTTTTTTGAGACTTACAAATTGCCCAGGCTGGAGTGCAGTGGCGCAATATTGGCTCACTGCAACCTCTGCCTCCCAGATTCAAGCAATTCTCATGCCTTAGCCTCCTGAGCAGCTGGGATTACAGGCGTCGGCCACCATACTCAGCTAATTTTTCTATTTTAAAAATTTTTTAGTAGAGACAGGGTTTCAGCATGTTGGCCAGACTGGTCGTAAATCCCTGAGCTCAAGTGATCCGCCCGCCTCAGCCTCCCAAAGTGCTGGGATTACAGGTGTGAGCCACTGCACCTGGCCTCAAGAATTAAGTCTTTAAAACAATGCCATTCACGTATTTCGGTAAAATATAACTGTATTTAGGCCAAAAAGGGTAGAAAAATTATTCTCCGTAAAGATCTGGAAAATAAGCGTAATGGACAAAGTATTAAAAATAGTACTCTTTTATTATAATTTTTTTTCCAGAAGATCAGGAATAGTAAAATAGGCAAACTTTCTGATATATATTGAAGTAAAATATTGCAGAGTGGAAAAGTCTGTCCACACTGATATAAATATATATGCATGAACAGATAATCAGATTATGCAAACTTTTTAGCCCCATTTGGAGATCAGTATCACAGAGCAACATTCACATCCTCGTTTTACATATAATGATACCTGTTTTAGTGAGGACCAACTATATTCAGGCTCAGTGTGAGGTACTTCATACTCATTTTCTCTAACAACCATGTAAAGTGCTAATTATTTTTCTGATTTTATAGAGGAGGAAACTGAGGCTTAGTGAAGCAACTTGATCAAGGACATACATAATGAACTGTTGAAACAATATCTGAATTCAAGTTTGTCAGGCGTCACAGGCCTATGCTGTCTCAATGGTGTGAACGTGTATATTGGCTAGGACTCAGCTGTCAAAGCAAATAAATGCTATAGAAATGCTGTGGACATGACCAACTGAAATTAAAACTAATGCACTGGTCAGGAAGTCTAATTCACATCACTAAATGTTTAGGAAGTAGTTTTTCTATGTGTAGGATGAATATACAACTAAATTTCCAAAACTGAAACAAAATTCACTTGGCATGTTACAGCATGTTTAAAAAATCTCAACCTGAGAAGAACTAAATAATTAATAAACTGAGTGTTTATCAGGGCGTAAGAGTTGACTAGAATATATTTTTGAGAGTATTTATCCAGTACTATGATATAGTTAAAAGGACAAAGTGTGAGATTTCTAGCTCATGTACTAGTCAAATATATAAAAAAGGCACATTCAACTAAACAGATACTATTCTTGAGCATCTACTATGTATTTGAAAATTATTTCATTTAATCTTCACCACAAAGTTAACAAAAGATATTTCTAGCCTAAGTTTACCAATGAGGAAACTAAGATTCAAAGTCACAGAGATACCAAGTGGCAGAGCTGGGATTTGCGCTGAAATCTATCACGCCCCAAAGATTCTTAAGCACTATGTAATGTACTGCTAATATTTGCTGTCGTTTAATATTTATTAATCAATGTTTACTGATATAATGTATTTTTTAAAATTCCATTCTGTAAAAATTATTTAGGTTAAAGAACTTATTTCATACTTTTTTGTTGAAAATACTGTAATCAGAAAAAAAAATTACTCAAATTCTTATGTTTCTAATGACATTGGCTACAGATCTTCATTATATATCTGATAGAATCCTGTGATATTACTTTAAAAATATTTACTATTATTATCTGGATATAACTTGATAGTTTCATACCTAAAAACAAAGTTTTATTAACAATACGATGTAACTTTTAAAAAATTTTAATTTATCAGTAGTCACAAAATTAATAGAAATAGTAAGAAATAATTTCAAAAATATCACACTGGACAATGTTTATGTCACAAAATACTTGAAACAAGAAAGGCTAATTTCCTATCTTTGACATAAGCAAATTATAATGACAGCTATTCATCATTAAAGATCCCTAACTAAGAAGATATTGAATATAAAAAGCAGTTACCTGTGCCTTTTCAGTACTGGTAGGATAGAGGTGTCGGTCAAATACCTTCTTTATAATATCAAGAAACAGACACGTAACAACCATGAGGATTATGGCAAACCAGGCAGAACCACTTGAAAGGAGGTGAATAAACACAAAGTACATATTCTGGGAGCCCAAAAATGGCCTGCAAAGAAAGACAATATGCTTAATAAAAGTGGAAACTGAAAGAACTTAAATCAGGACATCATGTAAAGACGCTATATTTGAAAGTTTAAGTACTCCAAGAAAATGTTCAAAATTGAAATCAGTATAAATTAATTAACTGAACAACAAAACAAAATAGGCTTTAGTTGTTAAAAATAAAACAACTATAGTTTTTTACGAAAACAGCAAGCAGTCGACCAGATAACCCTATCTTAGTGGTGGTGTGTCAGAAGAGTCATGTAGTAATCCAGACTTAAGGGACGAAGCAAGTAAGAACAAGTGGGCAACAAAATATTTTAGAAGACTGATTATCTACATCTTAGGATAAAGCTTTATTCGGAGGCTCTTCTTCAAAAACATATTTTAAAATTAATGTACTCATAAATACTAGTTTTACACAGTAATAGGTGTTACAAAGGTATTCTTTTTGGGTTTTTGCATACACTACCTCAAAAGAATATGGTGCAATATAGAAATATTCATGACAGCATCCTTTTATGATCCTAAATAGAAGTTAATGTTTAGCTAATCCAAATTTTTTTGGCCGACTTTCAGAAGTTTTTGTCTGATAAATGGATCAAAGGCATAGCAAGCAAATGTAATATAAATTCTCCAAAAGAGAGACTTCAGCTGTCCATCACTTTACCAAGGAACCTCAGGAGAAAAGTTAATTTTTAATCTATCAGAGTAGCTAATTGAGTATCTGATTCTACCAAGAAGATGATGCATACTACTTACTTTTGTGAGAAAAGTTAATGATTAATATTGAATGGTTCTATGTGACTTATTTTATTGTACACATTAATACATAAATACATAATATAACTAATGTAATGAAAATTGTGATATAAGACAATTGGGGTTTAAATCTTGGCTTTGCTACTTTTTTGTCTTTGTGACCCTGAGGTTTAGTTTCTACATAGGAAAAAAAAAGGGGGAGATAATTATTGTGATGAATCAATATAATCTTATATTAAAAATCCAGCAAAATTGTAGATATTTTTAAAAAGTTAGTTTTTTTTTCCTGTCCTATCAGTAAGATCAACTGAAAGAAGTAAACTTACCAGAAGTCTCCAATCTATTATGAGCAGAATATGTTCATAATGTAACCTGTCACAATAAATGTTTATTATCGTTGATGCAATACAATTCAAATACAATATATTCACTCACCAGAGAATCCCTCCATAAAACAAGGAAAATACGAAATAAAAGATAATAGATCCCCAGGTAACAAGATGGTTGATCCAAGTCCAAAAATGAGTTTCCAGAGCCATCTAAAAAAAAGTTTTTATATCCTTAGAAATATAAACAAATAAAGCTTTCCCGTAACCTTTCAGATAAAACTCAAGAATAAACACAATTACAAATATCTAAAAGTTCCTCAGAAGATAGATATAATACCTCAAAATCCCTCACAGATAAATGTGAATGAAAAAAAGTCCTAGTATAAGGTGAAATATTTCAAGTTTATCATGTTTTTCTTCTGTGAGGAAGCAGCAGTCAAATTTCATGTGATTATTTTCAACTCCATGGCCTAAAACAAATTATGTCATCTTGCATTATACACAGAGAAGCAAAATTTTAGAGATGTTTAAAACTGTGATCATAAAAATCAGCTTAGGCTTCCCAAAATAGTAAACTTAAAAAATCATTTTTTGATAAAAATTTAAGTGAATTATTAAAATGGTAATCAGTGAAATTATTCATTATTGAAAATGGAAAAAGGAAAAGTATCTGTGGATAAAGAATTGAAGAAAATTAACTAATTATGTAAACACTTGCAAGGTGTGTCCACATTTCTCATTTCAGTACCGTACCTTTACTGTGACTGTAATAACCATGACTGTGAAGACTAAAGTGCCAAATGTCCAGTTTCCAAACATCTGAACAGAAAGAACACACTATTACATCATGTGCTAACATAATATTAAATGAAGCGTCAGTTAAAAAGTCACTTAATTCTCTACTAAAAAACACTTCAATTATTGAAGCCAGGTACATTTGAAACTGGTGACTACATTCATAAAGTTAAGAGTATGAGTAAAAACAGCATAAAGCATTATTTAGATACGTATATGCTCCATTTAGAACGGTGGGTCTCAAGTGGGGGTGATTTTGCCTCTGTAGGGACATATGGTGAACTCCGGTAACATTTTTGGTTGTTGTAACTAGGGGAGCGAGTATACTAGTATCTAGTGGGAAGAAGCTAGGGACGCTGCTAGGATGAGCCCCCACCACAAAAAATTATCCAGCTCAAAATACAGTAATGCAGAGGTCGAGAAAACCTGATTTGGAGGGTAAGAAGAGGAGAAGACTGAAAGGAACAGTCAAAAACATTAGGAACTCAAGGTAAGCTACAGACGCGGAGAGAAGATAATGTGGCAGGAAAGGAGGCTTCATAAATTGCATCCAATGGTCAAGTTCGTAAGTTCTGAGACATGTTCTTGAATTTAGCAATGCAGAAGTGATCGTGGCCATAAAGAACATGATTTTAATACGAGTACCAGGGGTGAAAGCCCCACTGGAGTACTTTCAAGGGAGAATCAGAGGTCAGGGAGTAGATGTGAGAAAAGATAACTTCTTCGAGCTGGAACAAGTGGTTGTGAGCCAAGGCAGTGTGTTTTTTATTAGAAGTTGGGAGATCTTAGAGCATGCTTGTATGGTGACTGGCTTGATCCAACAGGGGATGAGAGATTGATGGTGAAGCAAAGAGAGAGGAAAACTGGGGGAGCAAAGTCCTGGCTTAAGCAAGAAGAGGTTTAACAACAAAGAAAGACAAAAATCTTTTATCAGGTTTAACCACACATCTCTCTATACAAGATTTACCTTCCTTAGAGTTAATTAGTTGTTCAGTTCGTCAGTATAACTCTCTCTTTACTATGCACTGATTATAAGCTATGACCAACTGTTGGACGGTACCATAAGAAGCAAGATATCGTTTTCTGTTCTCCCCTAAGGTACAGCTATATCTAACTTTCTATTAAGTTCCATTAAGTATCCTGGAATACTGTTAGTGCTTAAATTTTTGTCTCATGAATAGATGAGTATACAGGGATATTTTATAATGAACTAAATCAAGATTTTTTTTTGTAACCATATAACCTTTTATTAAAAAATCGGTATCTACCTATAGGAATTAAGTTATATGTATTCTTGAGTGACCTGACTGGTAACTACGGTAGTTAAATCATTCAAATTGAAATAAAGTCTAGAGCATTCTCTGTGGAATACAGATACAATATAGTACGTACTTCTTGTCTTAACAGAGCTCTCACCATTTGGTTAGGTTTCAACAGCTGATGATATGTATAGTATGAAAAAAATTAAGGATAGGAAATAAGGGGAGAAATCATTAAAAATTCAAGAGAAAATAGTAGTAAACACTACACAAAGGTTTATTTTTCTTTCTCTCAAAATTACAACCTGAAATTTCATCTCCTCAGTCTACCTTGTAATAATGCTCATTATTTACCTGCAGCTAATCTGGTTTAAATGCTTAATGGTCTAGAAGGCTTAATGAAGGGATGAAGAATTACTTTTTCTTGCTTAATCCTTTCTTTTCCATTTAATTTTTAATGAGGTGGTATAGTGTATAATGTTTTTTAGAATGGTGCTGAGGGTCTGACAATTCCAAAATCTCTACTGGATAAGTCAAATTGGATTTTTTTTGGAGAGATGGGATCTTGCTATACTACCGAAGCTGGTCTTGAATTTCTGGGCTCAAGTCATCCTTCCGCCTCAGCCTCCCGATGTGCTGGGATCACAGGCGTGAGCTATTGTGCCCAGCCCAAAGTGGAATTTACATCCTCTGATAGCTTTCTACTTTTTCTACCAATCCTATATTTTTTGAATTTTAATTATTTTAATTTTCCGAACTGGGTACACTTCCATAAAGAAAAGAAACATTATTAATAATAGATACTTTCCTTTGAATTCCTGTACACTTTAGTAAAACAAAACAGAAGAAACTTCTTATTTGGGCAGGATCTCATTTTAAAGAGCAGTTAGCTACTTTATAACTGAGAAGAAATGGAATAGATATTAGCGTTTGGGTCCCTAAGTTAAAAAACAAACCAAATGAAGATACAAATTCCTTTTTCTGAACTCTCCTCCCCTTCCCTCTTAAACTGTCTGGTTCTCCCCCCACTATTTCAGGTGAGAGTGAGCATACTCACTCCTATGTTTATGTGGTGGCGCTTGCACTGATGGTAAGACTGTGCAGAAGGGCGCCAGGCTCACAGTTGCTTCTCTCAAGAACTGAGAATCAAGACTAAGCATGGAGGTTTTAAAGTTATACCAATCTGTGTTTGAATTCTATTACCTTCATTTGCTTACTGTGTGAACTTAGGCAAGTTTCTTTCTAACTTGCAAAAATTAATATTTTTCTCAGAGTTATTATGGTTTAATAAGCTAATACATGCAATGTACCAGGCATAGAGAAAATACTCAGTAAAAGGTGGTTATTATTTGGGAAGTGCTGTAGCCTTCATGCTGCAAGATTCACATTTTTATCCATAGCAGACTAAATATGTGCTCAAAAGTGAAGTGGCAATTATATTTACTGCCTATTCTACAATACAAAGTGATTTGCGTGGTTAAGGCCTCTACGTTTGAAACCCATTTCCTTTATTACATTGGTGTATTTTATTATTAGTTTACTTGCTCATTTTCTGCATCCTTCATAAGATTCTAAGCTCCATGACCAAGTTACTCACTCTCATATTTCCAGAGCCTAGTTCAGTACTTGGGAATGGCTGTCTTCAATAAAGATCTGTTGAGCAGATAAAACCTTACATTCTTCCAATTGTAAATTTTCTATGTCTGTATCTCCAAACATATTTTGTAATTCTTAAGTGGTGGGAAAGGAAAAGGGAAACTAAAAGTGACGACCATTTCCAGTCCACCAGAGGCCCTACCACTGCTGTCATTTCTTTTCTTCCTGACCCATTTAGCTAAGCCTTGAAAGACAGGTCTAGCTCTGCCAAGCATCTCTCAACATAAGCACCCCAATCAGAACACAGTGCAACAGTGTAATGTTAAAAACACACTATTCCCTAATTTCATACTTCAGAAAAGTGGCCAAATTAAATATTAAGTTATGACATCTACTCAGAATTGTGTGTGTGCAGTGAAGAGTATGTAGCATTTCCTAAGTAAACAACAATGCAATTAAAAGCAAACAAATAGACACTAAGTCCTCATTTCTCATCTGAAAAATGGGCGTAATAATACCTCTCTAATAAGATTATTGGAAGGATTAATGGAGAGGGGGCATATAAAGTACTTAGTACAAAAAAGTACAAAAAAAATGGCAGCTATCAATAAAACACAATTCCAAAGTGAATAGTATGCAGGGGCAATAACATATTCTCTGTGTGAGCTAATTTCTGAATAGAAAAATTGTCTAGTAACTTGAGTTTCATTTGGAGATTACACTGCATTGCCTATTTTCATTTGTATGAAACATTTTTAACAAAAAAATTTTAAATCTTTTTATATTTGCATTTTAATACTTGAAATTCTATAATTTAAATTTTACTTTTTCAGGACAAAAGTTATTTAAAAAACCCATAATATATTAACATGCATTCTTTAAAAAAGTTATATACTTTACCTGGCCATTCCCAAGCAGAGAGGTATCTTTCCCTATTAGTAAATAGGATCCAAAAAAGAAAATAAAGGCATGACTAAAACCCAGGATGGTCCAATAAAGAAATGTTTTAATACATAAGAGGCGGTTTTTACTAATGTCTCTGTTAAAAAGAAGAAGAGAAAAAGAAACACATTAGGAATCATTTATTATTTGCCTACAAAACAATTATTGTAATTTGATAGTTAAAAGACAATATAATTATTTTTAAATTGCTTGAAAATATTAGCACAAAGAATAAATCCAAATTTACAAACCACTGCTTATAATATCATACATCTATTTAATAGCTTATAGTTCACATAATATATTCAAATACATTTTCTCATTTGATAAAGAAATATGGGAGGCTGGGCATGGTGGCTGTTGCCTGTAGTCCCAACACTTTGGGAGGCCGAGGCAGGAGAATCACCTGAGACTAGGAGTTTGAGACCGGCCTGGGCAACATAGCAAAACCTGGTCTCTTACTAAAAAAAAAAATTTAAATTAAAAAAAATTAGCCAGGCATGGTGGTATGTGCCTGCAATCCCAGTTACTCCAGAGGTTAAGATGGGAAAATTGCTTGAGCCTGGGAGATTGAGGCTGCAGTGAACTATGATCTTGCTACTGAACTCCAGTCTGAGTGACAGAGCAAGACCCTGTCTCAGAAATGAAAAAAAAGAAATATGATATAGGCATTAACACCTCACTTTCATTTTGACAAGCTGATTTATCTGTTACATCCTTCTGTTAACATTCAGTCACTCTGCCATCATGGTCTCTTTTTAGTGAAGATATCTGAGTTAGGTTCAGAACTGATCCTCTTAACTTCCCTCTAACAATAACTATTATGGGAAGAACAATCTATGTCAATGTGAGGTCAAGCCCTGTCCTAGATAACTTGAGAAATCAAAGTAAATTAATCCAAATGTAGATAATTAGATGCCTCTATAAGTGGTACTTCAATAGCTGCCTGTGTAAGAGATTATGGTGAAAACCACAGCTGGTCCTGAGGAACAGGTCCCAGTCACATCGCTGGGATTACTTGGTTCTGGGGAAGCAGAGGATCTGGAGTGGGAATTAATGTCCTCATCTCTGCATTTCACACTAATTATTACTCATAAATTTTGCTAATAGAAGAAAAACTAACTTTTAGGAATTCTGGAGACTACCACTTATGAATAACCTCTTTTGTGCACATGAAATAGCTATTACTGGTTTGCAACAGTAAGTGCCAGTTACACAACTGTCCAGTGCATCACCAGAATGAAAGTGCTCATTCCTAAAAAAAACACTGGAAACATTATATAAATTTTCTCTTTGAAAGAAACCTTTTTTCTTTGATATTCAACAACTTTAAATCATATGACAACTAAAGAACTTTCCTCAGTAAAGCATTAATCATCAAGACATAAATAAATCTATTTTTTACTTTAAAAAGAATTGTAAATCATTCTATAGACATATGCACATGTATGTTTATTGCAGCACTGTTCACAATAGCAAAGATTTGGAACAAACCCAAATGCCCATCGATGATGGACTGGATAAAGAAAATGTGGCACATCATATACATCACGGAATATTATGCAGCCATCAAAAACGATGAGTTCGTGTCCTCTGTAGGGACATGGATGAACCTGGAAACCATCATTCTCAGCAAATTGACACAAGAGCAGAAAATCAAACACCACGTGTTCTCACTCATAGGCGGGTGTTGAGCAATGAGAACACATGGACACCGGGAGGGGAGTACTACACACTGGGGTCTGTTGGGGGGAAATAGGGGAGGGACAGCGGTGTGTGTGGAGTTGGGGAGAGATAGCATGGGGAGAAATGCCAGATATAGGTGAAGGGGAGGAAAGCAGCAAATCACACTGCCATGTGTGTACATATGCAACAATCTTGCATGTTCTTCACATGTACCCCAAAACCTAAAATGCAATTTAAAAATAAAAACATAAAAAAATTAAATTAAATTAAATTAAAAAAAAAAGAAAATGTGGCACATATACACCATGGAATACTATCCAGCCATAAAAAAGGACAAGTTCATATCCTTTGCAGGGACATGCATGAAGCTGGAAATCATCATTCTCAGCAATGTAACAGGAACAGAAAACCAAATACCACATGTTCTCACTCACTTATAAGTGGGAGTTGAACAATGAGAACACATGGACACTAGGAGGGGAACATCATACACCAGAGCCTGTTGCCAGGTGGGGAGGCAAGGGGAGGGAGAGCATTAGGAGAAATACCTAAAGTAGATGACGGGTGATGGATGCAGTAAACCACCATGGCACATGTATACCTTTGTAACAACCTGAATGTTCTGCACATGCACCACAGAACTTAAAGTACTAGAGAAAAAAAATTAAGGCCACTTAATACCAGAAAATACTTACCGATAGAGGGTGGGCTTATTTTGCAATACATGAGGGTCTATATGCTGCTCCAAAAGACTATATATCAGAATAGGTAGGGAAGTAAAACAAATATTGTATAAAGTCAGATACACGCTGTCATACAACGTCTAGAAAGAAAAATTGGTAGGAATGTTGAGATTCTAAATTATGCATTACCATTATGCATACATCACAACTGTGCATATTAAAAGCGTAAAATCATAGTTTTAAAAATTTACACTAAAATCCACTGTAGTAATTTCAATTAAATAATTCCAATTTGTTTTTAATACAGACATAAATATATAATGTTCCTAGATTGGTATTCTTTGTGAGAACTGGAATATTTTGCTACATCAGGTGCTTATGGAATTATAGTGAGTTAGATTAACATTTCGAATTCTCCACAATTTGGTCAGTGTGAAGTAATTTTACATACTTCGCCTCCAGGTACTGCAGGCATCTTACTACTCCTTCCATATGGGACACATACAGTTTACCTTTCACGGCTTTGTCTCCCTGTCTGCATCCTACACTTCCTTTAAGGCACTGAACAAGATTATCTTCCATGAAACTCTGCATGATGGCTCAAGTCCTTGATGATATCTTGCTCTTCTAAACAGTCACAGGTACCACTGCTGGTACTAATCACTTAGCACTTTGCCTATGCTTCACATATTGTTTTTATTTTTATGAATACTACCTCCCAAATTACACTATAAACTCCCCAGAAAACCTAATCGAAATATGTCAGTTTCCCTTGTTCTACTGTCTTAGCATACTCCTTAGTTCATTCAGGTAAACAAACTTTTAATGGTAATCAATGCCTAAGCAAATATGTGGAATTTAGAGTTACAGATTGTAAACAGGATAAAACAGCAATTAAGAATAGGAAAAAATTCATGAAAAAACTAAGATAATTAAGCTCTTGTTTTTTCAATAAATTAGAACTAGCACTGATCAATTTGAGATGTTAGCATGGTATGTGATATGTGAAAAGGGTGTCTGCCACAGCAGTCAGAAGCAGTAGGTCAAAGTCATGGTTTAGTCATTAACTTAGCAAGGCAAGTTGCTTAATTTCTGTGGATTTCATTTTCCTTTTCTAGAAATTTAAACAGTAGATCAGGACTGGTAAATATGTGACATGCATGCAAACAAAGACCCACCTTGTACCCATTGCAACTACTGCTAACAAATGACATTTTCCCTGCGAGTCTGCAGCTTTAGAGTCCTTTTAAATATAGCACTCTAGGTGCCTTATCAATTATTTAAAGGTAGTTTCTGAGATTAAACGTATATGTCATCCCTGGACTACATCACTATTGCTCCTTCTAATCTAAGACATTTTGAGTCAAAAATAAAAATGAGGTGAACCTCCAAGTTATCTGGCCTAGCTTGATTTGGATTTTACAGAAATATCGCAAATAAGTTATCAGAATTCTCTCATAAACTGTTAAGAGTTATTATCTATTTTTCAAAAGTACCCAGAATTATATTTTGGTATTAACACTCACCTGAAACAGAAAACCAGAAAAAATAAATATTCTGAATGTTATGATGGTTAAATATACTAAATAGAAAAGTTTTGTCTGGTTCCCTGCAAGAGTAAGAAAAATGAAAAAGTCCCTTCAAATGTCTATGAAAATCTGAACATACATACCTTACTCTAAAAGGACAAAATACAAAACACAAGTTTCTGTTTACTTACTTGTTGAGAAAACAAACAGTAGAACTGATATAAAAACTGGGGTGTGATAAAGCACACATTCTGAAAAACAAGATTAAATGGGAAATAATTAAAATATTTAGGGCTAAAAGACAAAATTAAAAATTAAAAAATAGCTATTAAAGTATCCACAAACAATCTCAATTGGTATGGTAAGCAAAGGATAAGGACTTGTCCATATAAGACAGAAAAGCAGAATTCCCATTTTATGAAAAAATGTCTAAAAACATTCTAAGCAACAGTGCAGATATCAGAATGAAAAAACCTGACTCCTCTCATTGCCAAGCAATACTGTAATTTTGAATTTACAACCTTCAAACTATTACTAAATACTTTTCACATATAGTACAATAAGATTTACTTAAACTTTAGGGCTATGGTATCTTTACAACACAATAATCTTTGAAACACACAATAAATTGAACCATCAAAACTTCTTTCCATCTCAATATACTCATATTACAAGTAAAATCTAGAAAAATAAGTCAGAAAAAAATTGCCATCATCATCTTACAGCAATATGCAATCTTGCATTCTTTCACTGGATTGTAGCTACCAATTATGGAAATATATGCAACACAGTACACTCTGGTGTTATTAAATACATTGGTAACGGCCTGTTAATGTGGATTCTGCAGACTCCTCCTTTGTTCAAAAGGATCCAACAACAGAACAGTATTTCAATATAATTTGTTTCTTTGTAATACTATGTATTTTATTTTATGCACATAAAAGCTCTATACTGAGAAGCTCACACATCTCATTAAACTACTAAAGGGTCATTCATGGCATAAAAAGGCTAAGAACCTCTACTTGAAACCATTATGTTACTGTTAAAACTTATTTCTGGTTCAGGACAAAATAACTTTAAAGACATCAAATGTACTGTGTTCTAATTTACATGGAACCCTTGGGCCCCAGGCAAACACTGATTTGGTTTCTGTCAGTATAGAACCCATTTATGACAAAACACTATTATGTTTACCTATTGAAACAATTTTAAAGAAAAAATATATATGGTTATGACATTCCTTAAATTGACACTTCATATTATATCAATAATTGACACTAAATACATGAAACCCACCTTATAAAAAAAATACTGTACAAGAGTAGCTATTCTAATATAATAAAAATGACCATGAACAAAGAGCAATTTGGAGAGGAATTTAAATCTGGCTATTGCATAGTCACTGTTTCTTGCAGCCTGTCTTCCTTCTTTACCCATGATTCCTGTAATAAAAGAGACAAAAGACATGTTTCACTGGTAACTGATAAGTGTAATTTTCATGATAAATCTGCAAATATCTTAATTATTTATAATAGTTGAACATGCACTTAGGAACATTAACTCCTAATAGACTGCAGAGAGCTGATGTCCAAAAGGTTGTTCTACTTAAATATATAATTACTACAAAGCTACAATAGTTATCAGACACATAACACCAATTTGCAAAGAATTAGAATATAAAAAGACAGGCCAGGTGCAGCGGCTCACATCTGTAATCCCAGCACTTTGGGAGGCTGAGGAGGGTAGATCACGAGGTCAGGAGATAAAGACCATACTGGCTAACATGGTGAAACCCCATCTCTACTGAAAATACAAAAAATTAGCCAGGCATGGTGGTGTGTGCCTCTAATCTCAGCTACTTGGGAGGCTGAGGCAGGACAATTGCTTGAACCCAGGAGGCGGAGGTTGCAGTGATCCAAGCTCACGCCACTGTACTCCAGTCTGAGTGACAAAGCAAGACTCAATTTCAAAAAAAAAAAAAAAAATATATATATATATATATATATGTATATAATATTGAAAGTTAAGGATTTAGCAGGAGCATCAATTATTACACTAATAAGTACAAGTACTGGGTAACACACTTCCGATGGACAGAATGCTATAAAATACTTCACTATTTTCAATGAATATAAAAAATATTCAAATTTTTGAGTCATTTGAATTTAACAAAATGAGCATAACACTTCCATGAATAAGTCAAAATGTGCTTTTTAAAAGAAAAATATGAATTTAAGATAAATTTTTAAAAATGTACAATATCATTTGAAATCAGTGCATCATTTCATCTGACAATTATGAACATTTTTTTAAAGGTTACAATAATCCTTAAGGTTTCAAAAGAGAAAAAGGGTCATCACCCAGTTTGTATTTTTCAATCTAGAAGAAACTTTTAAAAATTATTTCAAAATTAAAATTTTTGTCATAAAAGGATGAAAGTGTCCCAAAATGTATAATGAAAAAAAACTATATTCATAATCCCTAGAGAAAACCAGTTTTCTGCATTCTTTCAGAAATTTTCTTTCTGCTTATTTCACATCTGTGTGTGGATGTTATTTCATATATACAAAAACATGTATAAAAATGTGGCTCAGGCTGGGCGTGGTGGCTCACGCATGTAATCTCAGCACTTTGGGAGGCCAAGGCGGTGCATAACCTGAGGTCAGGAGTTTGGGATCAGCCTGGCCAAAATGGTGTAATCCTATCTCTGTTAAAAATACAAAATACAGGTGTGGTGATGGGCACTTTCTTAGCTCAGGAGGCTAAGGCAGAAGAAACTTAAAAAAAAAAAAAAAAATTGGCCGGGCGCGGTGGCTCAAGCTTGTAATCCCAGCACTTTGGGAGGCCGAGGCGGGTGGATCACGAGGTCAAGAGATCGAGACCATCCTGGTCAACATGGTGAAACCCCGTCTCTACTAAAAATACAAAAAATTAGCTGGGCATGGTGGTGCGTGCCTGTAATCCCAGCTACTCAGGAGGCTGAGGCAGGAGAATTGCCTGAACCCAGGAGGCGGAGGTTGCGGTGAGCCGAGATCGCGCCATTGCACTCCAGCCTGGGTAACAAGAGCGAAACTCCGTCTCCAAAAAAAAAAAAAAATTGTTTTACAATTTGCTTTTGTTGCTTACCAGATTATGTACATTGCTTATAATGTATACTTGTAGTGTATATCTTCATTAACACACTCAATTTTTTTCCTAGAAGAAATTTCTGCATGCATAATTGTAATGTCAATAGGCACACATTTAAAATTTTGTTTTGAATAATGATGCAGGGTATACCAATTTATGCTCCCACTAACATTGTGTAAGACCATTTGTTAATCTATATTTTTACCAACTCCAGGCTTATCAATGTTTGTAATACATTACAGTACATACCAATCTGATGGGCAATTTTAATTTCCATTCCTTGGATTGTTGGAGGGATTGAACTTTTTTTTCCTTTCTTTTTCTTTTTTTTTTTTTTTTTGAGACAGTCTCGCTCTGTCCCCAGGTGCCAGGCTGGAGTGCAGTGGTGCGATCTCGGCTCACCGCAACCTCCGCCTCCCGGGTTCAGGCAGTTCTTCTGCCTCAGCCTCCCAAGTAGCTGGGACTACAGACACACACCACCACGCCCAGCTAATTTTTGTATTTGTAGTAGAGACGGTGTTTCACCATGTTGGCCAGGATGGTCTCGATCTCTTGACCTTGCAATCTGCCTGCCTTGGCCTCCCAAAGTGCTGTGATTATAGGCGTGAGCCACCACGCCCGGCTTGAACTTTTTTCCCCATACATTTAGTATCCTTTTTCGATTTCTCCTTTTGCGACAACCGATTGCTCACATCCTTCCACATATTTCTACTGAAATGTTTTTCTTATTCTCATTAATCTGTTAATACTTCATAACCGAGGAGGATCCAAGATGGCCGTTTAGGAACAGCTCAGGATCACAGCTCCCAGTGAAAGCGCAGAGGGTGAGTGGACGCCGCGTTTTTATTGCCCACAGACTAGGAAATTCCCGGGCAGAGGTGCTCCACGGTCGCCAGCGCGGCTGTATCGGCCAGCGCAGAGGTGCTGGCCAGCGCCGCTGCTCTGCCCCGCGCGGCTGCTTTGTCGGCGCCCTGGAGCCGCGGTTCCCCGTACAAAATACACTGGTCCGGGGGCCCTTTTGGCTGGCAATTGGAGCCACGGGAAGTCGCCCGTACGCCGGCTCAAAAAGGGGACTAAGCAGAGAACCAGGACAGTAGATTCCAGGGGAAAAAACAAAAAAAAAGCGCCACAAACATCAGTGCCGCTGTTTAAGCCAGCACAGTGAGTGGCCGCAGGGGAAAACAAACAGACCCCGGCGCCTCTTCAACAGGCGACTGGATCACCAACTTAAAAAAGGCTCTGAGGCAGGGGGCCAGGCGATCAGGCTCGGCTGGCCCCACCCCCACAAAAGAACAGCAATCAGAAACTCTGGATTGAGAGTTTCACAACAATCGCAGCTGAACCTGGGACGGTCCAGCTCTGTGGGGGAGGGGCGCCCGCCATTACCGAGGCAGCCCGCCGTTGCCAAGGCAACCCGCCATTGCTGAGGCAGCCCGCCGTTGCCAAGGCAACCCGCCATTGCTGAGGCAGCCCACCGTTGCCAAGGCAACCCGCCACAGCAGAGACTCCGCCCCAACAGAGGCAGGCCACCATCCCCAAAGCAGTTCTAACTACACCCATATGCAGGGAAGCTCACTCGGCAGCGGGGCGGAGCCCACAGCAGCTCAGCAAAGCTGCTATAGGCCGACAGTGACTAGGCTGCCTCCTTGCTGGGCTGGGCAGGTCTGAAGGAGAAAAAAAAAAAAAAAAAAAAAGAAGGCGGCAGCATAACGGAAACTCATAAATAAAGCCCCTATATCCCTGGGACAGAGCACCTGGGAACAAAAAGCAGTTTATGAGTACTGCTACAGCAGACCTAAAACTACCTGCCCAGCAGCTCTGAATGAACAACAACAGAGCTCGCAGCTTACCGTTTGAGCTCCTACAAAGAAGAGACCGTCTCCTCAAGCAGCTCCCTGACCCCTATATATCCAAAAAGACACCTCATAAAAGAGAGATCAGATTGACACGAGGCGGGTATCCTTCTGGGACAAAGATAGCAGCAGAAGAAAACTGGTAACAACCCTTGCTGCTCAGCAGCTGCTGCAGGTGAACCCCAGGCAAGCAGGGCCTGGAGTCAACCTCAGCAGACCTACAGCAGAGGGGCCAGGCTGTCAGAAGGAAAACCAAGAAACAGAAATAACCTCATCATCAACAAACAGACCGTCAATCTGAAAGATTTGAGACCCAATCTGAAAGCCAACAACCACAAAGTCGACAGGTGGATAAATCCTTAAAGATGGGAAGAAACCAGCGCAAAAAGGATGAAAACACCTGAAACCAGAACGCCTCTCCTCCTAAAAGGGATCACAACTCCTCACCAGCAAGGGAACAAAGTTGGAGGGAGAACGAGTGTGATGAAATGACAGAATCAGACTTCAGAAGGTGGGTAGTAAGAAACTTCTGTGAACTTAAAGAACACGTTCTAACCAAATGCCAAGAAACTAAGAACCCTGAAAAAAGATTTGACGAAATGCTAACAAGAATGGACAAAATAGAAAGGAATATAAGTGAATTGATGGAGCTGAAAAACGCAACACGAGAACTTCGTGAAGCATGCACAAGTATCAACAGCCAAATTGACCAAGCAGAAGAAAGGATATCAGAGGTCGAAGATCAACTCAATGAAATAAAACGGGAAGGCAAGACTGGAGAAAAAAGGGTAAAAAGGAATGAACAAAGTCTCCAAGAAATGTGGGACTATGTGAAAAGACCTAATCTACGTTTGATAGGCGTACCTGAATGCGACGAAGAGAATGAATCCAAGCTGGAAAATACTCTTCAGGATATTATCCAGGAAAACTTCCCCAACCTAGCAAGGCAGGCAAACATTCAAGTCCAGGAAATACAGAGAACACCACAAAGATATTCGTCAAGAAGAGCAACCCCAAGGCACATAATCGTCAGATTCACCAGGGTCGAAATGAAGGAGAAAATACTAAGGGCAGCCAGAGAGAAAGGTCGGGTTACCCATAAAGGGAAGCCCATCAGACTCACAGCAGATCTCTCAGCAGAAACCCTACAAGCCAGAAGAGAACGGGGGCCAATATTCAACATCCTTAAAGAAAAGAACTTTCAACCCAGAATCTCCTATCCAGCCAAACTAAGCTTCATAAGTGAAGGAAAAATAAAATCCTTTGGGAACATGCAAGTACTCAGAGACTTCGTCACCACCAGGCCAGCTCTACAAGAGCTCCTGAAAGAGGCTCTACACATATAAAGGAACAACAAGTACCAGCTCAACTAAAGGGCAAAACACCCAGCTAGCACCAAAATTGCAGTATCAAATTCACACATAACAATATTAACCCTAAATGTAAATGGACTAAATGCC